CTACCTTGATTGGAAGGGACGTTTCTTTGGAAGTAAAGGTAAGTGTGATTCGTTGGATTAGAGGGTTAGTTGTGAGGCTTCTTTTTGCTAAGTCAGGGAGAAGAAGCTATTAGATCTCTGGTTGTGGCGGATCTACCTTTCCCAAAAGTAAAGTTCCGGGTTGGGTTTGATCGCAGTGACGGTTTGCGGTGGTGTTCGCTAGCTCCAGCCTAAGAGTTGATGTCATGTCTTAGTCCCAAACAAGTCGTCCTTGCTAGAGTCAGATTTAGTTGGTGGTTTATTTTTTATAAGTTAAAGCCTAAACCCAAAACCCTAAACCCTAAACCCTAAGCCCTAAACCCTAAACCCTAAACCCTAAACCCTAAAGAGCTTTGTCGTTCTAGAGCTATTGGTTGATATCTCTTTTTTTTAAAAAAAATTGTATGTCAATTTTTGTGTCAAACTTGTATTATTTCTGTCAAAAACAATTTGGCGGGAAAACTTTTGTTGAAATTTTTTGGCGGAAAATATTTTGGCGGGACATTTTTGTCAAAAACTTTTGGCGAGAAACTTTTTGTTAGAAAATTTTGAAAGGAAATTTTGTGTTCGGGAGTTTTTTTCAGGAGGAAAACCCCAAACCCTAAACCCTAAACCCTAAAGAGCTTTGCCATTTTCTCTTATATGGTGATGTAAGGCGTGGTTGGATCTGTCCTTCGATGTAGATGATTTCTCTCTTTCACAATAACCTTAGATGATGTTCCTGGGATCTGCTAGTTGAAAGCTATGGCGGATCTGGATAGGATTTCTCTTGGCTAATTGGCTTGTTAGATGTAGATCTGTCTTGCGGCGGAAGCTGAGCTTCACACCGGTGGGTTCACCACTTTGCGAACTGATTAACAGTTGATCTGTGACAAGATCCTTGATGGCTAGTCACGGGGATCTTTAACCGGATTTTGATGGTTGATAGTTTGCTTGAGCTAGCGTCCAACCCCCACTGCCTTGATTGGAAGGGAGGTTTCTTTGGAAGTAAAGGTAAGTGTGATTCGTTGGATTAGAGGGTTAGTTGTGAGGCTTCTTTTTCCTAGGTCAGGGATAAGAAGCTATTAGATATCTGGTTGTGGCGGATCTACCTTTCCCAAAAGGAAAGTTCCCGGTTGGGTTTGATCGCAGTGATGGTTTGCAGTGGGGTTCGCTAGCTCCAGCCTAAGAGTTGATGTCATGTCTTATTTCCAAACAAGTCGTCCTTGCTAGCGTCAGATTTAGTTGGTATTTTATTTGTTGGAAGCAAAACCCTAAACCCTAAACCCTAAACCCTAAACCCTAAACAGCTTTGTCGTTCTAGAGATAATGGTTGATTTCTTTTATTTTTCAATTGTGGAAAATTTTTGGCGGTTGTTAGAAAATTTTGGCGGGAACATTTTCTCCGGGAATTTTTGGAAAGAAAACCGTAAACCTTAAACCCTAAGTCCTAACCCCAAACCCTAAACCCCAAAGAGCTTTGCTGTTCTAGAGCTGATGGTTGATTACTACTTTTTTTTTAATTATATGTCAATTTTTGTATCAAAATTTGCCATACTATTTCTGTCAAACAAAATTTGGCAGGAAAATTTTTGTCGAAATTTTTTTGGCGGAAAATATTTTGGCGGGAAATGTTTGTCAAAAACTTTCGGACGAGAAATTTTTTGTCGGAAAATTTTGGCGGAAAACCCTCAAACCTAAACCCTAAACCCTAAACCCTAAACCCTAAATCCTAAACCCTAAACCCTAAAGAGCTTTGCTATTTGATGGTTGATGGCTTGA